TTGTATTAAATGATTCGAAGGTCTCAGTTTCTTGATTGCCATGGTTTCCCAAATCTGGAATTTTGTACATGCTTTCTTTTACTTTAGTTGCCTGTTACCCTCCACCCAGACTCTCCACCTTCATCTCCACAAACCTGCACCCACGTGCAGACACACATGGTATCTTCACTGCTCCAGTAGTACCCAGTGTGCATTTATCAGAGTACATACCATACTATGTTGTGAGTGTGTCCTTTCATTACACTGAGCTCTACGGGATCAGAATCTGCTCTTTTTATCTGTTTCCAGCAACTAGCCCCAGTGCCTGGGTACAAATAGGCATCCAAAGAATGAATGATTGAGTAATGCAAAAACATCCTTAGGTAAGGTGGTAGTTGAATTAAGTTATAGTGGGTTTACATTTTCATGAGATTTGATTGTTTCTATTCTGAAAGAATGTATGTGAGGAAGGCAACATCCTAGCAGATTCATGAAGGCAAATTTGCCAGCAGCTAAAACTGCTTGGATTATCAGAAACTGCCAATATATCTGAGACTGCAGGGCTGCTGAGTGATTTGTAACTGTTCTTGGTTGGGCCAGAAAGCAGAAAGAAAAGATACTGAAATGCTATTTTTATGAGACTTAGATATTACAGTGTTGAGTTAAATGGATCAATGAAGGTGTAGTTATAATATCAGCTTCCCTCTGTTCCATAAAGCTAGGGGCCAGGCTGAGGCATGGGCAAGAATCAGTAAGGCAGACAGACTAAAAGGGAATTCAAGGAAGAACAGAAAATTGTGAGGCAGTGACCAGAAACCTGTATGGTTGTACTATTCTTTGTTACTATTATTAGTTCTGTAACGTTAGGCAAGTTACGTAATTTCTCTGATTCTTTTTTTTTTTTTTTTTATCTGCAAACTGAAGGTCTCATTTACCTATTTAAGACTACATCTATAGTGCCTATCTTGGGGGGTTAAGATTAAATGAGATCATGGTTTATAATAAGTACCCAGTACCTGTTAGTTATCATAATATTACCTGTCTATAGGTTGTAAAAAGGTCAGATTGAGAGGATCTCTGAAGTTAGGGACCATACCTAGCTTCTTCACTATTGTGTGTCTAGCACTTGGCATGTGCATGGAAGCTGTTTAGCAAATGTTTGTTGAATTACTAATGAGGGTGATCAGGACAGGCTTTTAGAGATCTCTGAACTTTTGCTTTTTCCTAGAATTTCTCTCTCAGATGAAGCCATTTCAGTTCTACTTCCTGGTGCCTGAGCTCCGAGTTTTCTCAGCATATCTTTTGTTACTTATTGGGACTGTAGCAAGGAAACGAGCATAAATCATAGCATTATTGGGTCTCCTGTTATGAAGGAACTGGTATCATGTCAACATTTGAATCCCCAAAGACAAAGCCAGCAGTACATCCAAAAGTGAAGTTTCTGAACATTTATTCCATAGTCATAGAAACTGAAGATGGAAAAGACCTGAGGACATCTAATCCATCCATGTGGTTGTACAGGAAAAGTGGCTGGAGCAAAACAGCCTGTTCACTTCATGCTCACAAGACAGCATTTCCGTTCTTCCTGGAGCGGAGCGATTGCAAACACATTAAAATGAAGACACAATGCAAATACTCTTCACAAACCTTAAGAAAATACTTATAAGTACACTATTTTCATAAAATGATTAGTAACTAAAAAAAGAGTGAGGGAATCCTGGAATAGATGGGTAGTGTAGGTGGGTAAAGAAAGGAATAACTTAACAGTATAGATAGTAAAGTAGTATTAATGACTAGAAAGCAATTTCTGAAGAAATGGTTGGATTTTCTGGTTTTCCTATCAAAAATATGAGTTGGGAGAAAAAGAGGCTCTGAAGTAGTTTCTTTCCCCTTTATTCTTTACCCACACCAAGGAAGTGCTTAATTTGCTCCAAGGCTCTAACAGACACAGCACCAACACTGAGAAGTCTGTTACCCAGATGATAAGGTCTGTCCTGCTTGGCACTTGCTCCACTTACTGCTTCTCCGGCTGAAAGGGAAGCTGCAGCTCCTGATAGGGTTTGTGCAATAGCAAGATTCATGAATGATGGAGAGTCCTCTCCAGGCACATTAAAGACCTCGACTGCTTGGGTCCCTGTGGCTGCCTCACTTGGCTGTCCTGGTTATTCTTCCAACTTGTTTTTAAATTTTGGGGGATTCCCCTTTCTCCTCTACCTGGAAGCATGTATACTCTGGGGCCTTTATTATTCTTATTTACATGAACCGGGTAGCTGTATCTGTTCCAGCTCACCTGAGCATGCTTTACTATGTGCTTCCTGTGCCAGAAATTCCCCTTGGAAAACAGGGTTGGGGTATGTGGCACAATGTGTCATATTCAAGATTTCCCAGCACCAGACCTTGGTAGAGAATGGAGGTCTTCTTGATCTCATGAAATGGGAGCCGAGCAGAAGAAGCAGGGTAGCATCTCTTATCTCTTCTTTACCAGAATACCACCCTCCATCTGAAGGCTTCTGATCTTTGTGTGTGTGTGTGTGTGTGTGTTTTTTGAGCCTGAAAGGAATTGAAAGAACAGGAGGTGGAGCTGAACAGAAAGGAGGTTTCCAAGGACCCACCATTTCATGACATCATTTTACAAAACACAATACACTGTTTCACAAATTGCAAAACACTGTTCAATTACTACTGATAAAAATAACCATTGTTACTTAACATGAAGACTGCTTCGTTTCACCACAAGCAATTATGGTTTTTTTTCATTCAGAACATAGAGGCATTTCAAGCAATGTTGATGGCAGTAAGCCTGCTTTCAGCCCCTGCTGCTGCTTGCTGCATCCTGGCCAGTGTTTTGGCCAGCTAGTTCCTCCAAAGATGTTTGAGGAGCCTGCATCGGTCAAATACTTTGTGGATAGGCAGGGCGATCTGGCATGTGATCCACCACTGCTCAGAATGCCTCAGTAGAGAAGCTTAAGGTAAACCCGATATACAAAAATTCAGATTTACAAAACAGATACGTTAAGGGATGATTAACTGCATTACAAAAGGGTGCTTTACTTTACAAAAGGATTCACCTCTGGGTTCCCTTAAATAGCCAGCTTCTCAAATACAGTCAGAATATGAGCTGAGTTACAAAAATGTCCATGTACATTAGGAGCATGGCTGTAATGTGAACTGAGGTACACCTGTACATCAGCCTTCTGGGCTGGACAGAGGTTCAGGGGCACACAGAGCATGGTGGCAGTCTCCAGCATCCTTAGTGTTGCAAGTGGGTAGGGATGGCTAAGGGGCAAAATCTTCCAAAGGCGGCTGCCAACCTACTTTTGGGCCTGGGGTGAGAACGTGAGGGGATGGCGTATTTCAACACAGAATTGTCCTTTTCTGTTTTCAGGGCTCACTTGTTTCCTCATTGAACTGTTTCATCTGTGGGGTTGGTGACCTCTGACTTTAGAGCCCTCCCACATCCACATCAGGATGTCTGAGTCTACCTCCACTCCTGGGTTTTCTCAGGCAATTAATCACTAGGTGTTACCCAACTACAGCTTGAGTCCTTACCTTTCCCTGGGGGACTGGGTAGCTTCTGGTGGAATTACAGTCATTTCATCCAATAATGGGGGGAGAAGTTTTGTGATTGAGCCACCTTTCCAATGATCTGCAGCTGTAAAAGAGGAAAGTTCTTGGCACAGCTCCTGAACTCACTGTAGGCATTCAAATTTATTGCGGGGTGGAACAATGAGTCCTGAGAAGATGGAGCAAGTAATTAAGGAAGTCTTCTCCTAAATGGTGCCTAGGGGTTGGGGTGAGGATGTGGAAGGAGAATCAGCAGATGTGTGCTGAAGTTATTTAAAAAACACCAAAAAAACAAACTTTCAAACAGGTTTTCTCTTCATGCTTCTCCTCATACTTGTGGGCAGCCAAACTTCAAGAATGGTGTTTCTAGAAGAGCAATTTTTAGACCACCTGTGTCAGTCACCTGGGGGTGTTGGTTAACAGTAGGTTTCTGAGTTCACCTCTAGACTTCCACCCCCGACCCCATAATCTCTGGAAAAGGGTCTCGGCAATCAGCACTCTGATGAGTTCTGTACTAGATGACTTATCTACACTGACATTTGAGAACTGAAGTTCTACAGTTCCCATATTCCTTTCACTTGCTACCTAAACATCATAGGCTGAGAAAGAGATGCCTAAGCAAAGGGGAGGTTACTTATATCAGTCTTTAGGGAACATTAGATGAGGCTGGAGAATCATTAAAGCAAAATCTGTTCACAGCTCCTCAGAGATGAGCGGGTATGAGGATGGGGGATTGACCTGATGATTTTCTATACAGATATGCAAAGCACAGGGCAGATTCCTGAATGGCTGAAGCTTGTGGTATACCCAGGCTGGAGGTTTTGGGATTTCTATGTTAAGAGATGGGTGACTGCTGATCTGAAAATGGCCTAGTGTGTGGTGTGTACAACATTTCACCCATAGTGTCACATATTCTATTATAGACAATAAGCAGGGATATTCCAGATCCGACCTAAGGCCACAACCTTGCTTTGCTTTTCTCTCTTTTCCTTTATAAAAGGCACACACCATAGTGGAGACGCTTAGTTACATTAGAAGTGGTCTTACTCATTTTTTAGCCAATCGCTTTTCTGGCCCACAGCTTTTGTTCTAAATGCATGGTATGCATTTTTAATGCCTCTTCTGCCTGTCTTCTGTTCCCACTTACCACATCCCCGTCCCCTTTCACAGTGGCGTGTAAGCGTGTTCTTACTAAACATTAGTCAAATTGGAGTCAGCGATCCAGAACCTTCTCCAAAACATGGCTCTTGCCTGGTCCAATCAATCCTTGACCTTTGTGATACTAATGAGTTAACTTTTAAGTACCCCACCCCCAGTGGGAGGTGCTCTGCTCCTACCTGCTCCCCGTTCAGACTGTAGACATAAATCTAGATTGGGAAGTTGTATAAAAAGCTACAACCCTGGATAATCTTGTTCTGTGTTACAATGAAAGCCAACAACCCAGTAAGACATAAGTATGAGTAACGATTTTATCTCTTGTTGGTAGTGCAGAGAAAGGGCTAAAAACCAGAAATACTACTGTGGCACCTGGTAAAAAGGATAACGGAAGCTAGAGTTATCTGGTTATTCACAGATCCCTCACACAGAGCTTACTCCTGACTAAGATTCTTGATAGAAAAACACTTCTACCCTGAAGACCTAGGGAGTGAGCTTGAGAGGAGCTGCGGCTGTTCTTTAGGCTAGGGAGAGCAGACTCGACCTCTAAGAAAACCTAGACCACAGCTTCCCCACACCTTTGTCGATAGTTAGAAAAGAGCATTACAAAGTGTCTCAAGGGCTCAGAGGAAGGCCAGGAACTGAGAAAGGGGAGCAGTGGTCACCTAGGACTCACAAGTCCGACTTGTCCTTTGATACTCTTCTAGCTCCGTTTTCCTGCTCACAGCCAGCTGCAGCTCCTGGCGAATCACCTGAATCTGCTTCTCTAGCTCGGAGAGTTCCTGCATCACTGAGTTCCGAGATACATTTAGGGAGTCTGCTTTCCCATTGGTGGTCAGTGAGGCAGGGAGCTCTCTTCTCCTCGGAGGGAGGGGGATGTCCTGGTGGGTCTGGATGCCCAGTTGGTTTTGTCCTTCCTCTTCACTAAAGATGTATTTTTGTCGGTTGTCGTGACTCAGATTGGAAGTATTCCATACAGTGAGCTGACGGGGTCCCACACTGGACCTGGGAAACAGAGAAATTTTAGATTTACTTTCCGTTCTGCAGCTCTCAAGTTGCTGTTCTTTATCTGTTAGCCATTTCCTGTGTCAGTAATATGGAGCTGGGTGTGTGTTTACAGATGAAGTAACAGAGCCTTGGACAGACTACCTGCCAAGGTGTCATGGGGCAGCAGGAGTCACGAACATTTAAAAGTTCAAGTCCAATGCTGCTCTGAAACTGGAATGGGGTATCTTCTGAAAGGCTAATAGGTTGGAATATGGCACATTTTTTGGTGAACAACCTCAGGTGGCTTTTAATTTTCTTTCTGCAAAGGAAGCTCAGAAACCAGCCCCACCTTGAAACATTTTATGGTTTGAAAGATGATGCTTTAATAAAAGCAAAATTTGTTTATTCGTTTGTTGGGTTTTAAGCATCAACCTGCTTAGATCTCATAACATGGCTCATCCTTAGTCCCACAGGACCATCCTGATGTTTACTACTTGATTTTGGGGAGATTGAAAGCATACAAGCCACAGGTTTTAACAAAGTGTTTCTTATTATAGGGATGATTTTTATGCGAGTTCAGAATGACAGGTTAGGTCTGATGCTTAAAAACATCCCAAGAAGGGAGGCTAAAGTGGGTGGATCATGAGATCAGGAGTTCGAGACCAGCCTGGCCAACATGGCGAAACCTTGTCTCTACTGAAAATACAAAAGATTAGCTGGATGTGGTGGCAGGCACCTATAATCCCAGCTACTTGGGAGGCTGAGACAGGAGAATCGCTTGAATGCAGGAGGCAGAGGTTGCAGTGAGCCAAGACCATGCCACTTCACTCCAGCCTGGGCAACAGAATGACTCTGTCTCAAAAAAAAAAAAAAAAAAAAAATCCCAAGAAAGCCCTCAGTTTCTTGATGAGATAATGAAAGTCATATAGAAAGCAATTTACAGTCCTGTTTTAGGCTTGCATCATATCACCTACCACCTAGACGGCATGAGAGTTATTGTCAAATAGTCACAGGAGGAGGCTGATCCTGTTTCTGAAATACACTTTGAAACTTATGTGATAAAAAGAGTTTCTCACTACAAGAACAGATTAGAGCCCTAAGCAGCAGAGCTGCTGATTTTTTCTACCATAGGAGAAGCAGCAGCAGGAGGAGAAGGAGGGTTATGACCACTTTTGCAATCTACCACAGGACAAAACTACATAGAAACACTCTACCAAGCCTTTGTGTCTTTGTTCCCATCCATGTAACTGAATTGACTTTTTTCCTGGACTCTTATTTGCCAAGAGAAGGGGACAATCTGGAGGGAGAAGGGGAAAGAGAATAAATAATAAATTATTGATGTAAAAGTGGCCATAAACCTTCTTTTCTCCTTTTGTCTCTGCCCTCCGTAATGTGACTTTGCAACTCGTACCTATGCTGAATCTGCTTCCTTTCTCCCTTGAGTTAGGACTGTTCTCACAACTTCTTTTGGCCAACAGAAAGTGGCAGACATGTCAGAATGACAGTTCCAAGCCTAAACTTTTAAGAAGCCTTGCACATTTCCACTCTCTTGGAGCCCCGCTGCTGCAATGTGAACAAGTCCAGAATGGCCTGCTGCATGATGCTAGGCAATATGGAGAGAATCCTCAGGCTTCCCAGTTGATCCAGCTGAGGCCATCATAAGCCAGACAGCCCTTAGCTGCTTTCCCCTCCCCTCAAGTTGGCTACAGATGTATGAGCAAACCCAGCCCAAGTCAGGCAAGTCTGGCTCAGATCAGCAAACTGCACAGCTGATCCATAAATTAATAAGCAACTTGCTGTTGTTTAAAACATTAAGTATTGGGATGATTTAGTACATAGCAAAGACTAGCTTATACATGCCCCGAGCTATTGAAACACACAATCCAGACCACCCTGTGGTTCTTTAACATGCCTCATAGGGCATGGGGTGGGTAAAAGTTCTGTAATGAACCCACTTATAGCTCCATTAGCTTTAAACCTGAATCAGAGAAGAGATATAATTTTCCTTCTAGCCTTATAATTCACTTTAATTTTTTCTTCAAGTCTTTTCCTATTGAATTTAATAATTTCAAAGTAATTTTGGTCATGCTGTTTTACAGTTTGTAATTTTTGTGTGTTTTGGGGTGAGAAGACAGGGAAAAGGGGGATGTTGTGTACTGATTGGGAACCCAGTGAGATGAAAGATAAACCTAAAACTTACATGAGATCACATGCTGAGAAAACCCAGAACTATATATAAATAGTCTCCTGCAATATGTACCTTATTTTATCTTCATTAAATAAAAAAGGAACAATACCTACTTCCATGGCCTCAAACTTCTCCAAGCATTTCCTCTATTTCATATTAGTAATTCATTCATTTATCTATCTGCTCTTTTATTAGTTCAGTAAATATGGAGCACACGGGAGGGATGTCAAGTTGTAGCAGGCATGAACATTTGTCTAGATACTCTTCCAGGAGAAGAAGAAGAGCGCATTCGAATACCATGCAATGGTTCACGGCAGGGAAAACCTCAGAGTGAGCATCTACACATGTTCTTTGACTGTCTAGGCAGCAACAGCGATAAAGTAAGGTAAGTAAGTAAGAAGACCAGCTGGACTGGCCTTCTGCAGAGCTTTGTATATTTATCTGGTAATATAATACAGAGGAATTTAACAAAAGCTAGACTTTGTGCCCAATTCTAGTTGCTAGCATCACCAGGCCTCTGGTATTTGATGTGTGGCTCTGGGGTACCTATGAGTGCAAGGAGACAAATGATGAGAGTAAGACTCAGTGTCTACTTGGAAAAAATAACCCAAGGCGGGTGTTATACTTTTATCCTCAGTAGCAATTAGGCTTTGCTTTAATTGAAGCCTTCTTCAGTCTTAGAGTGTTAGGTAACCAGTGAATGAGCTGTATTTAACACTGAAAGTGGGTAAAATCGGCTTCCCTGGAGCATTTATGTAACACTGAGGTTCAGTACTCCACTGGACTATTCCAACGAGACATGACAGCTATGGGACCCCAAACACTCATTGTGTTTGACAGGTTGCTAATGTTGGGTTGTGCAGAGGTAAGCACAGGAAATGTGAGCCCAAGATAAACCATGAGTGAATGTTCTCCTTAGCTCCTCAAAATAAGGGGTTCAGGAAGGGAATCTACCAAGAAAATTGGGTAAGTTGAGTCAAAAGACAGTGGTTTTCAGTTTACATAAGAAAGATGTGAATATGAATCATATCACATTGGAGATGGGATCATTGGGCTTCCTGTTTCTATAATAGCTGGAAAACAAATATTTGTTATTGTAAGATGACACATTTGTTGCTATTTCTTCTTGTGTCACTGTTATTAAAAATTTACGCTAAAAATAGAAAAAATAGTTGTGTAACATGACATGACCTGACATGAAACAGCTGTGATAGGATTAGTATACAGCTTGTCACTAACAGACTTGCAATATGATGCAGGAATACCACAGACTGAGAGGGGCGGGGAGAGTGCTCACTGACTGGAAAGAGACTTTAAGAGATAAAGGAAATGATTCTGACAAGCTAGATGCAAACTGGATAGAAGAGGACTGCAGCGGTCCCGGAGGAGGTACAAACAATGAAAAAGCATCCTGTTTTCCATCCTTTTTCTTGTGTTAGAGAGGGGTGAATGTCAGATTTCAAAACTGAAAGAGAAAGCCAAGCTGTGAGCTGTGGATATGTCATAGGGGACAGAGTTGCTTGGAGCTGATGCCCTCATCTGAGGCCTTTGGGCATATGAAAGAACCAGGAGGGTTGCCTTAGGCAGCAGGCAGCAGAGACCAGCCAGGAACCAGACCGAAGTGCTTCTGACATCTCTAGTCACCATAGACTAGGGAACAATCATCCACAGCCTGGTGTGGTGAAAGTGAGGAGCTTTGATTTTCAGTTGTCATCAATGCATTTAATGCTTGGCATTTCCTATTAATAAGATGCTCTTTGCTAGGGAGTTTGTAGAAAAGTGCCAGGAAATGAATTAGGCAGGACATGTCTGTATTGTATTTCCAATACTCTGTTCCCAGGAGTGCTAGAAAGGAGTAGGGAGTGAAAATATGCCAAAAAGACAGTAAAACATGGAATTAATTACCTGCAGTACTCATTAATTCTTATGTATATTTTGTACATAATAATAACTAATATTTATTAGGCATTTCCTTTTGTTCAGAGATTTACGTGTATTATCTCATTTAATCTTTACAACTCTAGGAAATAGGTAGTGTTTTTATCTCAGCTTTACAAATGAGGAACCTGAGGCACAGAGAGATTAAATAAATGACTTACACATATTGTAAGTCTTTGGAGACAGGATTTGGATCCAGAAGGTTGATCCTAGAGTCCATGGCTACACTTTTAACCATGACAGTATATTGTGTACACTGCATTTTAGTGTCCATATACATTTTTTATTTTGTGTCTTATTTCTCTCTATCTATACTGATTCTGTTGATCGACAAATTGTCCTGATTTGATCTGAATAATTATTGATATAGTTACATCTCTAAGTATTATTTTATAAATGCAAAGACAGTTGCCATTGGCCCCTTCTTACCTCTTTTCCACACGTTTGGTCTTGAAATGCTTCTGCTTTTCCTCTACAAATGATGTGTTTAGTGCTCTGTGTAATCTCTGGCAGAGAGAACAGATTCACAGGTAGAAATTATGAGAAACACATAGGTCAGGGGACAAAGAACCACTTGAGATTTAATGGTATGTGTAGTCGGTACAAACCTTGGCCTCTTTAAATAAATTTCCAGGAATGCCTAAAAATAGAGCAGCATTTAGCCTCAAATCTCAAGAGAACAAAAATTATAATTAGAGGTTATTATTCCGCCTGGAGAAACAAAACAGGGATCTGATAGAAGGCTCAGTGTTATAAAATGGTATGTGATATAAAGAGGCACAGTCATAACTCATGTGTAGCAAAAGGCCTTCCATAATTGCTAAAGATGAGTAAAAAGTATAAAATTCTTGACAACCAAAAAAAGTATAAAATTCTTGAGAATTAAACTAATCCTATTAGCATACAATAAGGAAGATCTAAGGAGTTCTCCTAGAAGACCAAATACTTCCCAGGTTGAAAGTAGGAAGAACAGAGTTCAACTGTAACAAAACCAATGACAGTAACCTATCTAGAAAAAAAAAAGTGTTACCAAAGCGAGGAGGTTGGCATGAGGGTGTATGAGTACATGAATGGGGTAAATGCAGAGGAAGTGACAGCTTCCCTGCTGGGAGGTAATCCACAGTACACTGGGGGGCGAGAGGAGGTCACACCACAGGAGAGACCAGGATGGCTCATCCAGCCTTGATGTGGCCAGGTGAAACCGCACCCTTTGTTAAAGTTCCTCCATCATCGTGAAGCCTTCTGCCTCTATTTTGGCTCTCCATGCCAATTTCCTTCAGGGAGAGATGTGCAAATGAGTGTGCTTGAATTGCCAGTCTGCTTGACAGTTTCACTTCTCCCTATAAATCAGTGTGTTGATGTCTAGATTACAGGAAAGAACTGTGGCCTTGTGAAGCTTGGCCTTGGCCCCAGTGGGCCTCAAACCTCCCTGGACCAGGGACAAAGGAGAGAAAACAGGGGCAAGTAGGGTCACTTAATGGGGACCAGGGACTTCAGACTCATTTAATAGGTTTCAGTTTTGGCAAGAAAAGAACCTAGGAAATAAATGTTTCACACCATCTTTTCAGACTGTCACTATTAAGTGAAACCCGGTTTAAAAAAAATTCTATTGCTTCTATTATGAGCAACAGTGGAGGGTTACAGGGAAGGAGTGGGCACTGTGGGATAGTTTAATTTAAGGGAAATGTGAATTAATGGGATAGAGAGGATGGTTGCTTCTATAATGAGAGTGCCTGCCCCACCCTCGTTGTTGTGGTAACATCACTTATCAGTCTGACATAGGGTTCTGGAACCTCCCGTCACTAGGAACTCTACAGTTTAAGAATATTGGAGCAAGACACTGGTGGCACTCACCTGGCTGGTGTGGAGCCAGTATTGCAGCTTGGATTTGTTTTTGATTCGTGGTAGCAGCAGCCTGTATACTATGTGCTCACCAATGGTGGTCAAGATGGAGAGACCAAATCCAATGCACAGCAGCACAAAGAGTCCAGAGAAGTGTTTGATGCCCATTTGCAAAGTCTGTAACAGAACAGGAAAGAAAAGGCCATGAACGCAGTGAGATACCTGGCCCAATGCTTGTGCAGTCTTTTTGGTTTCAGATGGATACTCATTTTTGTCTGGACTCAAGGAAAGCTGGAGACTGTTTCTTCCTATGTGTTCTGTGACCTTCATTTTACGTCGTGAAAGAAATTCAGCCAGTGTTGGACTGAGGGCTGCCAAGAAGTACCCAATTCCTAGGGTGTGAGAAATAAAAATAAAATTCATAGCTCTCCAAGTGGCTGAACAAACTTTCTCTTGTCCAAGGGGACCTTGGAGAAACCTTGGAAACTGAGTTCCTGGCCTTGACAAGATAGGCGATTTGTCATGCCTCAGTAGGCCCCTTCCTTATTAACATTTAGCCATAATTCATTCTTAAGAAGTAAGCAGGAACTAGCTCTGGAAAACAAGAAACTGATAACTCATTGCTTTATCACCTTTAGCTAATCATCTAGATTCTCCCTCCCTCTGCAGTTTCAGTGTGACAGCTCACCAGTTTCACAATGCACCCTTCCCAAAAAATGATCACAATCTCCAGATGGTTTTGGCCAACTTGTGGAGGATGCACAGTGAGGGTTTTCATGTCCTCCGCTTCACATTTGGACATCAGAAGACCAAAAACTCCACCCTTGGGTCATGCTGATGCCTCCATTCTTTGAACATGGGGCTCATGAAGAGGCATGAAGCTCAACTGCACACATGCATGTATTGCTTTTTATAAATATTTATGGCTCCTCCTATAGCTTATTCAATACATATACTCAGCCACCCCATTCAGCATAAATTCCTGTTCTCGTTTACCCCTCCCTTGAAGTGCTTGCTCTCAGCTTCTGCTGAGGCTACGCTTCCCAGTCTGCAGGATGGCTGGCCTGCTGGCTGCAACCCTTTATAAGAGATAAAGAAATCCTGTCCAACTTTATGAAGCTCATGATTCTTCAGTTGACAGGTGCTATTCATAAGTTAATCCCATTGTGCAAATAGCCCCTGGAGTTGTGCCAAGGCCCTGGGTCTGGACCACCCTATAGTTCTAGAGAGAGATTGAGAGAAAGAGAGATAGGGAATTGAAACAATTTAATTGAAACATTAGGTCGCTGTCAAGGAAGGGACCTCCCTCGAGGCAGAGAAGTAATAGATTTAAGGGGAAAAAGATGGTGAGTTCAGTAACTGGAATGTAGATCTGGTAGGGAACATGGAAATCATCTAGTTCATTTTTACAGATGAGGAAAGTGAGACCAGAAAAGTGCAGTAAACTGAGCCAAGTTACAAAAATTGATAAAGAGGAGGAACCTAATAATATTTATTGGTTGCTTACTTTCTGCCAAGTGTTTTACATTAAAATAGATATTATAACCTCAATTTTATAACTAAGGAAAGTGAAGTTCCTGCAACTTCTAAGTGGCAAAGTTGGTCTTTCAGTCCATTTCTGTTCAGCTCCAAAGCCTGGGCTCTTTCTGCTATACTGCTCTATATATACAGTAGTAGTTACAGTAAATATATGTGGCCAGAACTTTACTAAGTGATTTGTATAGATTATCTAAGAAAACCCTCACATGTATTCTAAAATGGCCATTATTTAGCCACTATTTAGACATCAATGACAAGAATCAACTCTGTAGAAGGAAAAACATTGAATATATTGAATTTATACTATGTGCCAGGGACTCTTCTGAGTATCAAGGGATGGAGATAGAAGGAAGTTGTATCTTCCCTTTGAAGCAGCTTGAGTCTAGGGAGAAAAAAAATGTATTCCTTCATGATACATTTGATCCACACTTCCTGGGATTTGTGGGGAAGATGGCTCATGAGATAACATTTGAATAAAAGAGGCAAGATGGGGAGGTGGGGCAGGGAATGTGGACATACTAACCTGAAGGTAGCATAAACAAAGGAAAAAAGACATGACTTTCCTAGACAGTGGTATAGTGTTGTGAAACTGACTGCTGTGGCTGAAGGGAGGGTACTCAAGGCATGAATAGTGCCATAGTTTGAATGTGTGTCCCTCCCAAACTCATATGTTTAAACTTAAACCCCAAGGGTTGGTATTAAGAGCCCTCATGAAGGGCTAGATGAGTGCCCTTATAAAAGGGCTTGAGGAAGCTAGCTAGTCCCTTTTGTTGCCCTTTCACCATGTGAGGACACAGCGTTTGTCCCCTGTGGAGGACAAGCAGCAAGGTGCATCTTGGAAGCAGAGACCAGGCCCTTATGAAGATAATAAACTCACTGGTTCTTTGATCTTGAACTTGCAGCCTCCAGAACTGTGGGAAATACACTTCTCTTTCTAATAAAGTACCCAGTTTCAGGTATTTTGTTGTAATGGCACACACGGACAAAGATACTCAGTGAGAGAGAAACGGCCACACTGGGCAAATCCTCAGATGCCGTGCTAAGGAGCCTGGGTGTTAGCCCTTTGCTGGAAGCTTTTGGTCATCATTATCGTTGATAATTATTCAGCATTTAATCTGTGTAAGGCACAGTTCTGAGCACTTCATCAATGGAGCAACTCGCCTAATCTTAATGACAATCTATAAGGTAAATAGTGGTATAATCTTCATTTTGTAAGTGAAGAAAGTGAGCAACAAAGAAGTTCAATAACTTGTCCAAGGTCACATGGCTGGCGAAGGTTAGAGCTGGGATATTCAAACCCATGCAGTCTGTTTTCAGAACCTATAGTCTTCACTGCCTCGTTTGTCTGATGTGAATGATCGTCCTATTCTCTTTAAAGCATTTTCCTTTCATTCTCCCTACCTCTGACCCACCTCGATCCTGGAGAAACAGCCAGGCAGGCATGATTTAGGCATGGGTTGCATAGGGAAGTCTATCTGGGGGGTCAGGACTCTAAGGCAAATCTCGGAGATTTCAGGCTTTGTTGGAGCCTGACTCAGGAAATCTCTTTCCCTCTATGCCAGTACTGCAGGCTATGAATCAAAGATCAGTGTTAGTGTCCCTAGAAAAGAAAAGACTGGAGCTGAGCAGGGGCTCGGAGCAGGTACCAGCTCTAGGAGACTGGCATGAGGCACAAAAACCAGGCGGATGACTTGGGAATGTAGGCTGAAGCCCAGCCCCAGGAAACAAGGAATGCTGGTCTGGAAAAGGCTTTGGTGGGAAAGCACACTGGACCCCTAGGGCTTCAGAGGTACTAGGGATTTTCCTGGGACATCTCTGTGCAAATGGTGACCAGCTGCATAAAGCTGACATGCAGAAAGTACATACAAATGTCTCTGAAAATAGTCCTTGGTCTAGACCTATTTTAATGTGTACAGGATTTGGCTATTATATGAAGAATTCAGTTGAGTTGTTGCTGTGGATTAAGAACAGATTGGGAAAATTTATTTTGGACTTTAACATCATCAAACATTCAGTTAAACTCTGAGCATATGGGCACTGCTTTTTTGTAAGACACTGCCAAGATGAGGAAGAAAAATGTACATTGCAGTGAGTCATCTTGCTTTTAAAGACATGGTTCCCTCTGTTTTCTTGTGCATAACAATAATTAGTCTTATTTTTCTCTTAGTACCTCAATAACAAATAGGCCGTATTCAGTTTATATTATACACTTTTTTTCATTAAACTTCTGTTGTTTATATCCACATGCTAATAGACTAACAGAGGTAGTTATTGTTTTTAAATTGGGCATTTAATACATATGCCAGATACAATATACGTGAGTCTGGTTGGGGACAGTTGGGTAAGATTATGTGGTGTAATCATTTTGATTGAAAAAATTTGTATTTGACAATCATGAAGAGAGAGAAAAAAGAGATTCAAATAAACTGGAATTTTCTCATTAACCAAGACATAGTGAAAGATCACACTTAACAAAAGAAACAGAAGAGGAGGTAATTTATTAATACAAAATCTAGGGAGAGACTGCATGAGCCTGTTAGTAGTGCTCACAAAAGCTTTTTGACAGCACTCTGCATTCTTGTAATGTGGAAACTGCTTAGTGGCTCATCAACAGGGCTCTGCCCATGTTGCTGAGGAGATGCTTCTGTCTTTCTGTTTCTTGGGTTTCTTGAGCCCCCAACTTTTCTAAGCTTGGGCAATCATATTTTAGGCTTGAAAATGGTACTTAATTTGCCACATGATCTCTGTTGTGCAGTTTTGAAAAATTTATTACTAAAACAACTCAGAAAGATATTTTTAAGAACGAAATGTGAGATTACCCATAATCCTGTGCTACAGAACACTCACTTTCAATTCTCCATTTTCTCTTCTGAACGATGACCATATGCACGTATATTTTTCAGAATTCTAAACATAGGCTATACCAAGTTTGAATTATACTTTTAAACAAACTTATTTTCTAACGATTTTAATATTAATTTCTAAAAATATTATTTTCTAAATATTATTTTATTTATTAATTTAGTAGCCTAACACTATTACCTACTATTTTTATTATAATTGACTTGACTAATCCCAAGCTGTAGGTGTTTAATTTTTAAAATATTATAATTTTTTGTATATACAACAAATATTGCTACAACAAAAATTTTTGTGTATACCATTTTTTTTTCTGTTTTTGAGACAGAGTTTTGCCGTTTCCTAAGCCAGAGTGTAGTGGAGCAATCTCAACTCACTGCGACTTCTGCCTCTCAGGTTCAAACAATTCTTCTGCCTCAGCCTCCCAAGTAGCTGGGAACTACAGGCATGCACCACCATGCCTGGCTAATTTTTATATTTTTATTAGAGATGGGGTTTCACCACGTTGGCCAGACTGGTCTTGAACTCCTGACTTCAAGTGATCCTCCCGCCTCGGCCTCCTAAAGTGCTGGGATTAAAGGCATCAGCCAGCGTGCCTGGCTGTATATAGCGTTTTAAAATATTTTTCTTTCTTTGAGATATACATAGCAAGAGTGAGATTACCTGGTCAAAACATACAACCATTCTGATGACTTGTGATGTGTAAAATGACCCGTGAAAAGGGTGGAAGCCATTTCCAGTGCCACGAAAGATGCTGCAATGCTCAGGACCTTCTATGTTTGCCAGTTCTGTTTTATAATTAATAATTTTTTCCTGTTTTAAATATTGTAATTTATATTTATTGAATTAGCAAGGCTATTTTTCCATGTTTGTTTTACCTATGTCCTTTTGTATGAATCATGTAATGACTTCTTTTGCACATATATTTATGCATATCAGACACAGTGAGGCTTTTTGTTGAAAAACTGCTAACCCTTTTGGTAACATTATGTTTCCCCTTTTTTATGTTTTCCTGTTATCTTTGTTTTGTTAAATTTTACACACGTATAATTTATTTTGATTATTGTACAATCTTCTACCATTTCAGGCATTAGAAAACATCAATTGCAGGGATAAATAGTTTGTGTCCAGTGTTATATTTTTGAAAAATAGTGAACACTTCAGTCCGTTTTGAACTTCTGTGCCAAAGAATGTAGCTATGTTAATTTTTCTTCACCGAAACTCTTAATTTTATCTCAATATTTCAGAGGCTCCTTAGTCAATAAAAGGCTACTTTCATCTTAGAGTGGCCTGCATTTCTTTGTACTAATTTAGGTTTTTATTTAAAATCTTCAGATTTAAAAAATATTCTTAATTTTAAAAAAACGTGAGAACAAACACCATATAAAACTAATAGCAACAAAAGCAAACATTTGTAGGTCAGAGTTAGCCTATGAGTGGTCATATCATGTCCTCTGATGTACACAGCTTTATTGCTACTGTGGTAACCCTTCAGTGTTATAATTTTTCATTATAATCAGTGAATTCCTGAGAATTCCTGATTTATAGTTCACAGTCACTGGCCACTGGGGTAGGTACGGTAGTTGACACAGAAGCAGAGGAGTCCAGTCTGATTCTCAGTCTAGTGGCCTTGTTCCTCTGCCACTTGTCCCATAATGACACTTTGCTGAGCCTTGTCCTGTTCAAATTATTCAAAATAGATATAACACCCTAGCAGACTAACTAGCTACTCTGTATCTTAATAGCGAGAAAGAATCAGTAGTGTAAGTGAAGAATGGAATTTGTAATTTTTTTTTTTTTTTGTACATATACGAACTACTGATTCTAGCTGGCAGGAAGGTTGGAATTTGTAATTTTTTTTTAAAATAAAATGTTGTTTTCATTTAAAAAATTTATATCATTCCTTGGACAGTGGCTTAGAAATTTGTAATTAAAAAAATATTTCTGGAAGATATTTTTTCCTTGATAATGTTTCTAAAGCATGGTAGAATATAAACCAAAGCTAAATGGAATTGCTGAGGCCATATTTTTTTCTCTGTTTCAGAAAGAGTGTTAGTGGTCTGGGGATTGCAACATATGGTAGAGAGCAGACACCGTCTATTAACATAGGATTCATAACAACATATTGTGACTGATCTCAATAGCCTCAGAGCATATTGGTTTGTGTTATCAGTTTAATCTAAATACTGTCACCTGTTTCTCAAGATGAGCCAAAGACGGGACATGGTTTAAAACTGTCTTGTCTAACGTATCTGTTTCATTGCAATACGCAGAACCAAAGAGGTGGCGGCTGCTTGTTCTTTGACAAACAGTTGACCTCTTTGGGCTTCAGTTTCATAATTTATGAAAACCGAGACTTGATTTGATTACATAGTTAAGACTATAATAAATAATTTGAGACAGGTAGATATAGGAGCTATAAAAATAAGATAAATGCAGAGAGGTAGAAATAAAGCTCAGGATATGGTGTCAGAAATCCTGGTTCAAATCCGTGCTTTGCCACTTACCAGCTGGGTGACTTTGGAGAAGATTCTAGATCTTTGCATGGCATTATCTGTAAAGCTGGAATAGTGGTACCGGACTCACAGTGGTGTTGTGATGATTAAATGGTATGTATAATAAAGGTTATATCAAAAGTTATGGGACAATTCCTCAATAAAAGTCTATTATTATCACCCCAAGAAACTGTGTAGAACTAGGTTTGCTGGCAACTGGCAATTAACTGACAGGAAAACAAAGCATTGTGATTTGGGAATAAATGTGATTCTTTTAATCCAAATATCCAGTCAGATCTTTCCAGTGTTAAATCCAGATATAGGCTCTCCATTCAAGGTCATTGCCAAAAAGCCTTGGGTAACTATTGTAGGTAGACTTATTGGACAATTAGCTTGTTCATTCCAGCCACTCCAGAAACTGAAATACATTTCCTCTCTTTGTTAAATGCAAATATGTAATCCAGCATGTTTCAAACCCTTGGTCATAATTTTAAAATTTCCATATTTTAATGTGCACATTGCAGGGTATATAAATAACGTCTCCCTTTAATGACAATAATGTCCTCTTAGCTAGCATGACTTGTGCTCACTTTCGCCATGTAAAATTGCTCCACAGAAAGAAATAGGTTGGGCTGGAATGAGAGATTTTCTTTTAAATTTCTCCGGTTCTCAAGTCAAAAAGTTTTTTGTCCCCTCTGCAAATGAAGGAGTGGGAGGACCTTGAAAAATTGTTCCCATTGTTTTCTCTCCGGGCTTGGACATGGGCTGGACACAAATGTCCAGTTAATTTCAGAGTGGGCACAGCTAAGAACTAGGTTTTCAAAAGCAACCAGTAAGCCTCATGTCTCCCTCACATATTGGTCCTGTAAAGGGGAGGAAGCGGAAAGAGAAGGGAATTCGTTGAGTGAAAGTGGAATTGTGCTCCAGGTGTGTTGCATATCTTTTTGAATCCTCAGAATAACCCTGGCATGGATCCTCTTTTTAATTAGGTGGAAAGACACAGAGAGGCTAAGTAAATTATTCATGTTCACACAGCTAAAAAGAGGTGAGTGTGGCAACAACCCAGTAGCAACTGAATCCGTGTCTGAATCTTTGAACATTGCATAATGTTAGCACCATGGGGTTGGCAGTGTTTATCACAATTTTTAGAGTTGCACAGGAATTGAAGGGGCAAGGATTTCTATTTTTGTGGTTCCTAAATACTCTATTAAATAAAAAAGTATATGGTAGGGTGCCTTGGTAGATGGTTTCCCGGCCAGTGATTACATTTGTGGACTTTTTATTTTCTATTTTTGGTCAAGACCAGTTGTTAGCTTCTTACAAATAAAATAGCAATAAATCTCCTTGAAACAGATCTTCCGTGTCCTGAAAAAAGTTACCTGAGTGGTATCCCTTAGCTAAGCAAGTGTAGGGAGAGTATGTTTCATTGTTCTGCTGTTTGAAAGCCTCAAGATCTTATATGGGAAGTGTTTCTCTGTGACAAAAAGGATTGGGGTGAAGCCGCAGATGCTGGGGCCAGTCCTAGCCCTGCTCTTCTGAGGACAGTTCCTGCTCTGAGAACTGACAGTAGTATGTGGGACCTCAGGGAGCGGGTAACATTTGGGGTATAGGCAGTAATGTATTTACTGGTAAACCGATTCTCCAAAACAAAACAAAAAAACCTAAAAGCTTTTGTTCCTTTCTCACCATGGCTGATCTAAAGCTACCAACGTGACAGAAATGAGTGGGAAGAGACACGTGTGTTCTGGATCTCTTCCGAAACCACAGGCTACAGCACGCCCAATGGTGGAGATCTGTTAGGGTGTGAGGATTTCTATGCTGAATGTTCCATTAGGGAAAAGACTTCCTGGAATGAGAGAACTCTCAGCTTCTCTACTAGGCCCCAGATCTGATTTTCAAAATCAGCATAGCTAGTGTAGCCAGCATCCACCTCTGCTGTGGAGACACAACTGTCAGTCTCCGCATCTCTGAGCACCAGACACAATGCCTCTTCAGCATCCCAGGGAGATTGCACTGCAGCCTGAACCTTTACTGCCTCTCCTCCGTGGAAAACCTGACTAAATGTCCCATTCTCTCCACGTGGGGTAGGCACCAGTGTCAGAGGTGAGAGCACGTTCTGGGAAGGTCCTTGCCCTACTTAGCTGAAAGTCCCCTTCATTGAATTTAATACTGGAGTGGGTCGCCAACCCTGGAAACCCACTGCCACTGAGGCTGAAAATTAAGCTGGGCACTTGGTCCAGGCTTAGCATTTCCTGTAAGAGCCCTGAAGCTAGTTTCTGTTCAGAAGTTGGAGCAATGACTCAGGAGGAGGCCAAATGAACTCCTACCCCTCAAACATGCACAGTGATTTCTGGATGCATTGTGGGGAGTGGGGCCCCAATCTGCCAAAAGATGGGACTTTGTTCCCCAAGAAAAGTGATTACAAGATGCCTAGAAAAGAGAAATATATGTGTCTCTGTTGTTATAGTAGGAGAGTTAACAATCTGGGAAGATATCCAAATACAGGCAAATGAAAACAGTTCACCTAACCCCCATGCAAATTATAAATTTCTTCCCTTACACAAAAAATGATGAGAAATGACAGCAAAAGTGTCTATTTTCTAATTTTTGAACTTTTAAAGTTCTAGTTTGGTCTTTGAATCAGAATAAAGAAAAAGACGTTTATAAAAGCCATTTCCCTCTCTTTCCACACTATGCTCCTTTGACTTGCTCTTCCCGCTGTAGGGTACCTTGAGTCATTCAGAGGAGAATTAATAGCACTGAGCTGGTGATGAAGCTCCTTTTAGGACATGTGGCTTCACAGAGAGAAATACTTCCAGGTAAGTCAGAGAGACCGTTGGATGTCTTGAGCAAATCTTGAAAGAGGTAGGGAAGAAAGCAAAAGTTGTTGGGTGGTGCTCCTAAGAAACACGCTCACATGAAGAGGACCAGCTTCTTGTGGATCTCCAGGTCTCTGACCACAGCACTGAATTCCTCAAAGGATATCTTCCCATCGCCATCCCTGTCCAGGATGATGATGGTCTTGTCGACCAGCTGCTGGAGCTGCCAGTCCTTCAGGTTGTTGCCCACCATCATCTTCAGCACCTGGAAGAGCTCCCCGTTGGAAATGTAGCCGTCTTTATCCATGTCGTAAATGCTGAACGCAAACCTCAGCTTCTGCTCCTCGTCGCTCTTGACGCTGAACTGCGAGGCCCCCCGGATGAACTCCTTGAAGTCCACCTCTCCGTTGCCGTCGGTGTCGAAGACGTCGATCACTCGCCGCACCAACGGGTTGTGGCGCAGCTCCGGCAGGGACATGAACTCGTCCACGCTCAGAGAGCCTGATTTGTCCAAGTCCAGCTTCCTAAAGCTCCTGCCCAGTCTTTTGATTTCATCGTTGTCAAAGTGGGAGCACATCTCAGCCGGGTAACTGGCCTCGTTTCCCATCGTGGACATCTGGCAACGGCCGGAGCTCGCGGGGTCGGAGGAGGGAGCAGGGGTGGTGCCCTCGGGCAGGGCGCGCGCCCGCGCCCGGACGGTTGAGCTGTGGGGTGGGGGTAGAGGGCTCCCGGGGCCCTGGTCAAGCAAAAGGGCAGGGGAGCAGAAGGAGGGGCGGCAGGTCAGTGAGGGAGGGGAGGGCGGGAGGAAGGGGGAAAAGGGAAAGGAAGGGGCGGGGGGCGCTGTCTGGACAGGCGTATAGAGAGGAGAGAGTGGAGCCTGGGGGTGCCCGGGAGAGGCAGAGGTGGACAGCCGGGCTGCCCCTCCTATTTTCCTTCTCTCAAACTCCTTGTACCTTTCCATGATAACCCCGATTTCCCTGGCAATTATTTTATCTACTTATTTCCTTTCTTTTATCTACTTATTTCCCTTTTCTCCCCCTCTGAGAAAGTAAACTCCAAAGGGGAAAGGGTCACATCTGTATTGTTCACTGCAGTATCCCAGCAGCACAGTGCTTCACAGGCAAGATGTGCTTAATAAATATATGCCGAACGACTGAACTGCAGCCAAGGACACTGCAAACTTACTTTACTGGCCTAGTGTAAGGACAAATCGAGGTGACACATCAAGGCATTGATAGAGTGCGGTTTCCACGATTCTCTGGGAGGGGAAGTCAGAGTTGACATCCTTCTGTACCTTTTTCAGGACATAGGATTCAGAGTGTAAGAGACCGTGCCAATACCACGCACAATTTCTTACATGCATCACCTACAGGCACTAACATATTCCTGAGGAGTATAAACAATGCTGAATTCAGGGAGTTTTTCAAGAAGACACAGGTCTCAAGAGCACAGCCTCTGTTACTTTCTTCCCTCCAATCCATCATCATCTCATGCCCAAGTCACATCTTTGTTGTTGGTTCCTCAGGGCAACTCTACAGAATACTTCGGGGGAATGGTTGCAATGTGCCCAAAGAAGCCTTTTGTGTGTGTCGAGAATGACAGTCGCCTCTGGATGATCTCACTTTTCTCCTTTTGTTTCACTAGATTTGTTCTTTCTGTTGGAGGGGAATCTCACGTGCTTCCTCATATTCCTTCTTCCTTTAGGAGCACGTCAGTTACTCCAAATGCATAAGAAACAAATGTGGTTCAAGAGCAAACAGTTCAAAGGGAGATGGGGGAACCTCAGGCCACTAAATCGAACTGAAAGAGGCAAACACTCCTTTGCTTTAAAAAATGTTGGCAAGTTCTGTGTTCTTTAGTTCAGCCAAAAGATCAGTCTAAAGATAAGCATGCTGAAATAAGCAAAACTAAGCCACTGACCGACCACCTTATCATTAGGTCTGGCTATTTTATTTTCCTCTGTAAACAAATGATAATCTATGGATATGTTTTAAAGCTGATGGTGGGTATTACATAGATGAAACCCCTTTTCCCAATTAGACTGTGATATTGGAACATGTTTTATTTTACTTGCTTGCTTTTCAGTTATTCGGAGAAATCAGCAGGGTACGGTTTGGATACAAACCTACTGAATTTGCAGTGTTAAGGATACCACCTTAAATTATATTACAAGATGCCCAAAATCAGTGCTGGTCTCTAAATGCTTTCAACCACTGTAGCATGTGTTCTTTCTAAAGCACAAAGGCCTTTCTGGACTCTCTGGGGAAACACTCAGGCCCTGGAGCTGCAGTTCTGAAAAATCAAAAACCTCTGGGGCAAGGACAGAACTCTATCTTCGGGCATGCAGTGGGGCCCGGAGTCTCTAGAATTGTGTTATTGGCCTCATGTTGTGTCTTTGACTGCAGTGTAGTCCCGCTTCTTAGCTGTAAGTGAAAGACTCTACCTCGAAGCAGCTTAGCACAAAAGATAATTTGTTGGAAGAATCTCACATAATCGAAAGAAGAGCTGAATAATTCAGTCGTAGGAAGGTGGGGATCCCACTGGCTTTAAGGAAAACTTGGAACCAAGACCTCAGGACCAGTTATGTAATTTGCAGTGTCCTTTGTTTGAAAATGATTAAGAACTTCAAGATGGCCACAAGAGAACATTAAACCAAGTACAGGACCTTATGTGAATGCATGGGCCACATGCCCATGAAGTTGGCCCTACAAGGAGCTGCGCCCATTGCCCTCTCTGTACCTTTCACATATGCTTCTCTTTCCTTAACTCCCTCTTATAATAAAGCAATTCCTCCACATTACAGAGGACATGACCACTGACAGATTCTAAGTTAAGACTTTGGGGTTTTATCATCAGAAAAGACGGACTTTTCCCTGTTCTAGTTAGATGCCCATAAATCTCAGTAACAGGCTCTGATTGGTCTCACTTGGGTTGTGTTCCCACCCCTGAGCCATCAGACATGGCTTATAACAAATGAAAGCTTCTATTTTAACCTCATGGGTGGAGCTGGGGTGGGGAGTGGGGGCTGGGTAGGAAGAGCAGGTCCCAAAAGAAGCACATGCTCACTTGTCAGAATGGCTGATGCTGAGCAGACGGAACAACAGATGGGCGTTAGACAGGTCCGTTAGTGCTGACTCTGTAGGAGAGAGGAAGCGTTCTCAACTCCCTTCAGTTGTGCCAACTGAATAGGCCACAGAGCTTGCTATTGCTACAGGTCTCCACTAGCTCATTCATTTCTGCCCGGTCCATCTTATTATTTGCTAAAATATCCCTTCACCTCTGTGTAGATAGAATCAGTATCTCACTTGCAGACGCTCTTGCAGAGAGTTTTACAAACTGTGGGTTACAACACGTTAGTGAGTGGTGAAGTTAGTTTAGTGAGTTATAAGCAACATCAAAAAAGTAGAATAGCAGATTACTGAAGAGAAAGTATCATCCGTTAAAGGGAAGTACTGTTACTTCATAAAGTTGCTGTTTCTGTTATACTGACATATAGCTATGTAAAACTAAATATAGTATATATATGATAAAGGCATACCAGCTTATTCTGGATTTGCAATATGACATTTTCTTTCTTGGGTTATAGTAAAAAAGACAGTCTGACATATATTATAGAACACAGTGTTTTGATAGCTTATAGGCTCATGCCATGAGAATAATTCAACAGCAAAAACACCTTCATACTTGTTGATTCTCTGTGAGATCAGTATGTGGGGATAAAGTAGATGGATCTCGAAATAATAATCTATAGCAGTACTGTCCAATTATATATGTAGTTTTAAAATTTTTTAGTAACATTAAGAAGCAAAAAAGTGAATTTTAATAATATAGTTATATTAACCCAATATATCCAAAGTGTTACCATTTCAACACATAATCAATATTATCATTTATGAATGAGTTTTTTTTACATCTCTTTGTACTGTGTGCATTTTATATTTACAGCACATCTCAGTTACAGCTCACAACATTCCCAGTGCTTAGTAACTACATGTGGCCATCATATTGGACAGCACAGATCTAGACAGTTTAATGGAAAAGGAACGGTTTGGAGGCTAAAATATTTAATGGTTGAATTATTATCCCAATTTACTGAATTAATTAGGTATAAAAGAGGTATTATTAGGTATTATTTTTTATAAGGTAGAAAGAATTGAAAATGGGGACAACCCAACATCACATCTGATCTGTTCACTCAGTAGCAGTAAAACCTTGGACAAGTTGCTTGACATTAATTTTCTCATATGAAAAATGGGGCTAATCATATCTATTTAGTACAGTTTTGTGAGTATTAAAGCTAATATTAGTCAATATAATAAGTCATTATTATGATTGCTATTATTACTAATTTTATTGTTACTTAGCCTGCTAGTAGAGATGAAGGCTTAAAGGATGCCAGCCTGCCCTGGACACTTAAGTGTACGTACGGCCATGTAACAACGCTCCTCGTGTATCGGTTACTGTATGCCACACACTGCTCACACACTATACCAGCATTCAAGTTGGCTCCTCCAGTTCAGAACTCTTTGAGGACTGAACGCAGACCTTCCATTACAGGCTTGAGAAATGCAGTAACCAACATCATTGGCCCATCAGGCACTCTTAGGGATTCCTCACAAATCTTGCTCTGTTGCCTAGACATTCTCCTGAGTCATTCCTTTACAGTCATTTAGAAAGGAGCTCCCAGTGTGAAAACTCTTAGTCAGCTGTATTTCCCTATGTGAGTGTGTGGTTAGGAGGCAGCAAAGGGTAAAGGAGAGAGCCTAGCGGGTAAATAGTAGGTTCCAGCCTCAGCTCCTTCCCTCATTAGCTGTGAGCCTTTGAGTGAAGCTGTTACTGTATCAGTCTCAAAGTCCTCGTCTGTGAAATGGTGGTAATACTTATACCTGCGTAACCTACTGATGTGTTGTTATGAGAGTCAGACGAGGTAGTGTATATAGAAATGTCACAGGAATGTTGAATGGTCACACAGACAGTACTGGGAAGATGGTACCACTGCACTAAAATAATTCAGGTGTCCAGGCAGATCCATTCTACTCTGTGCTGTAGAGGATGTAACATTATGCTAAATCTGGAGTTTCAGTCAATGTGAAGTTGAGTTCCCATTGTTCTACATTTCATAAACCGTGTGGTTCAGCATATTATGGGAATCAACGCTATCGTTTCGATTTTCTCTGGCCATTGTTCTTAGTCATTTCCATGGAAAACACTATTTATTACTTTTTCTGTTCATCACTGTGGATTGACGTGGATTGTGGGACATCCACTGAAGTAGGTAAATTAAAAGAGCTGACTGACTGTTTTGGAAGAAACCAGGAGCCTTGATGGCACTTCTATTTCAGCAAGTCATTTTTTTTTTCCCTCAAAAGTTTTCAGACAAAGAACTATGAATTGGTCACATGTAAAAATAACTGACATTAGAAAATGAAACCGACAGAAATGGAAATGATGAGATCTGAGGTTCATATAAAGCTTCATTTTTCAAGCCAGTCAGGTGACCAGGTTCCTCAACAGGGTCACACAGCTGTTCTAGAAGCTATACAGGTGGTCCTTGACATTTGGTTGGAAGCTCTCACCTTTCTGTAGCACTGCCGGTCACCGTTATTTAATAACCATTAAAGTACTGACGTTAGCCACAGTGCAGACTGTGGAATCAGCTTAAGTTTAAACTGTTTCTGAGC